TCTATCTATCTATTAATCTATCACTATGTCTCTTTTTTTATCATCTATCACTATCTTTCTATTATCTATCCACTACCTATAACTTTCTATCAATATCTGTATATCTGTCACTCTTTCTATCATCTGTTTAAACTCTCTTGCTCATTCTACTATCTGTCTGACTGTCTGCCTATCTCGCTCCCTTCCTCCCATCTATGTATTGCTCTCTTTCTACCTATGTATATCTCATCTATCTATCTCTATCTTTCTATCACCTATCTAACACCTATCCATCATTTATCAATCTGTCATCTGCCTCTCCATGATGTCAATCCATCGATTAAACATTTATCATCTATCTCTCCTTTTGGATAAGGAATACTTCATCTGTATATATGTACATGTGTGTGGAGAGAGAGAGAGGTGTGATGCAAATACAGGCAACATTTCTGTTTTTCTTTCTTACTGCATCCCTTCCTTCTCCATTCCCTTCTTTTTCTATTTCTTTCTTTCCTTCCTTCTTTCCTCCTGTTCCCTTTCTACAGCTCTGAAAGCACCTACCTCTTAATGTAATCATCCCAACATGCCTCTTTCCTTCCTTCTTCTCTCCCCCTCATACACATCACAGACAGGCACTTCACCTAGCAACAGGTGTCCTTTCCCATATAGAGAGATATTTCCAACCCGTGGAATTTGTGGATGCAGAAACTGTAGAAATGGAGGAAGGACTAAAGGTTTAACATTTTTGGAGGTGGGGGGCATGATAGTTTTTGGTAACATTTTCCAATTTTTATGTATTGTACACACGTGAAGGACCACTGACTTCCCACCAAGCAACAACCTTTGTGGTACAGACAGATATAGATAATTTTGACTTGAGGGAGGGAAAGAGGGAAGGAGGATAGAAGCAAAGAGGGAAAGAAGGAAGAAAAGATAGAGGTAGGGAAGAAAGGAAGGAAAATTACATTTATCAGAATCCAGCTCTTCTCTTTTCTTTCATTACCATTAAACCACACAAAGCCACAGCAAAACTGGTCAGGTACAGGAGAGAAGGAGGGAATGAGGGAAAGAGGGAAGGAATGAAGGAGGGGAAGGAAGGAAGGAAGGAGAGAAGGAAAGAGGGAAAGGGGAAGAAGAAGGAAGAAGAAAATGAAGGAAAGGAAGATGTAGAGAAGGAAGGAAGAAAGGAAACAAAAGGGGAAGGAAGGGAAAAAAGAGGTAGAGAAGGAAGGAATGAGAGAAGGAAATTAAAAATGAAAGGAGGAAGGAAAGGGGGAGGGAAACAGAGAACCAAAGAAGGAGAAAAAGAGGGAGGGAAGGAAGGAAGGAGAGAATGGAGGAAAGAAAGATGTAGAGAAGGAAGGAAGGAAACAAAAGGGGAGGGAAGGAAGGAAGAGATAGAAAAGGAAGGAATGAGAGAAGGAAATTAAAAAATGAAAGAAGGAAGGAAAGGGGGAAGGACACAGAGAACAGAAGAAGGAGAAAAAGAGGGAAGGAAGGAAGGAGAGAAGGAAGGATGGAACCAAAGAGCGAAGGAAGGAATGTAAAAAAGATACAGAAGGAAGAAAGAAGAAGGAGGGAAAGAAAAAGGAGGGAGGGACGGAAAGAGGGAGTAAACGAACACACATATATTCACACACATACCAGTGGACATATGTCTAGGCACACACATATATACACACATACTCACAAACACACACACACATATATATATATGCAGATACATATCCCTGTAGACATCCTATATAAATAATATCATATCTCCCAAACTATGAGAAACTCCAAGTCGCATCTCATTATAGATCTGTGAAAGGTCCAGGGTGAGAGAAAGAACTCTTTTCTACTTGAGCCAAGTGTGAATGTTGCAATTTCCCTCCTTGATTACAATTGAATAGCCTTACAGCTTCAAACCAGAAAACCTTGGTTGGGAGGTGTTACTGGCTCAGATTGTTACATGTCTTGAATTGTTTGTTTGTTTATTTATTTATTTATTTATTTAAAACATTTATATTCCGCCCTTCTCACCCCGAAGGGTACTCAGGGCGGAGCACAGCATACATATGGCAAACATTCAATGCCAAGACGCAAATTCTTACATACATACATAAACATTAAAAACATTTATCAAAATATTAAAATACACCACATAGTCATCCACGTCAAATCTAATTGGCCTGGTAATCTTTCCTATTGCTGCTTTATTGCCCTGTCACAAAAACCTGGTCCCACAGCCAAGTTTTTACCATCCTTCTAAAGGACAGGAGGGAGAGGGCCAACCTGATCTCACCATAGCCGGGGAACAATCACCGAGAAGGCCCTGTCTCTCATCCCCACCAATCGTGCCTGTGACAATGGCAGGACGGAAAGCAGGGCCTCCCCGGAGGATCTTAATCTGTGATGGTTCTTAGGGGGAGATGCGTTCGGACAGGTAATTTGGGTCAGGGCCGTTTAGGGCTTTATAGGCCAAAGCCAGCACTTTGAATTGTGCCCGGTAGCAAACAGGCAGCCAGTGGAGCTGGTGTAACATGGGAGTTGTATGCTCCTTGTATGCCGCCCCAGTTATTAACCTGGCTGCCTCTCGTTGGACTATTTGAAGCTTCCGAGCAGTCTTCAAAGGCAACCCCACGTAGAGGGCATTGCAGTAGTCTATCCTAGATGTAACGAGAGCGTGGGCCACCATGGCCAAGTCTGACTTCCCAAGGTATACCCACAAGCATTAAGAAATAACATATATTAAATACCACCACTTTGTCATTATATTATTTTCCATACCACCAGAGTACGCTACAGCAATGTGTGGCAGGGCACAGCTAGTGTTATATAAAGGAATCCATCTGTTTCTGCCAATGTATATTATGGGCCTTTTGCATTCATGGATTTTGGCATCCACGGTAAGTCCTGGAACCAAACCCCAAAGGATACCCAAGATTTCCTGTATCACTTTATTTAACCCAGGAAATTCTCAGGCCTTTTTTCTGAAAGTAATAGACATATAACCTTCCTTGTATAAGTCCGCTCTCTGAATTCCACAGGCTGATGCACTCTATGGGGAATGGAAAATGTATGTAATTTGTTTTTCTCAAAAGAAAATCTGATTTTTCTCCTGTGACACAACAGACCATCTGGTTTTAATGCAGGTGTGCCAAATGCAAGGCCAGCAGGCCTAATCCAGATGCATGTAAACAAAGGTAAGCATGCATATTAGGATTTGAGTTTGCCACCCCCTCTAGTGGCTGGATGCAGTATAGCACACAGGGACTGTGTGCTCCACAGTGACCTCTACTGGCTGGAATTTGCAGATTTGAGTAAATTATCTCTCTTATATGGATTTGATGTCCTATCACCCTCTTCTATTGTTCATGTTAATAGAAGTTGGAGTCACAAAATGTCCATAAACGTTAATGACAATAGTTAGCTTTATTCCAAGAGTGGGTAAAGGTTGGACCTCAAGATGCTGGACTACAACTCATGCATTCCTCATCATTAGGCATTATGGCAAAAGCTGATGGGAGTTGTAATGCAGTTACGTCTATACGATTCACATTTTGCTGGTTCAAAGTTTGAGATAGAACCATCAAAAGAGAAGAGGTAGGTGTGAATTTTCAATTGGTCACCTCGATTAGCATTTAATGGTCTTGCAGCTTCAAGGTCTAGCTTCTTAATGCCTGGAGGAATCCTTTGTTGGGAGGTGATTAGCTGGCCCCGATTGTTTCTTGTCTGGAATTCCATTAACCTCTACCTCCAACAGACAAGAGTTCTTTCACCCACCCTGGACATTATTCCACAGATATATAAACCCAATTTTCTTAGTTTCCAACAGAGCTCACAACCTCTGAGGATGCCTGCCATACTAATAATATAGGATTATCACTTGGCTTAGATTCCACCTGAACATTAGGAACTTCCTAACTGTGAGAGCTGTTCAGCAGTGGAACTCTCTGCTTCAGAGTGTGGTAGAGGCTCCTTCTTTGGAAGCTTTTAAACAGAGGCTGGATGGTCATCTGTCAGGGGTGCTTTGAATGCAATTCCTGCTTCTTGGCAGGGGGTTGGACTGGATGGCCCATGAGGTCATTCAGATGGCCATCCAGCCTCTGTTTAAAAGCTTCCAAAGAAGGAGCCTCCACCACACTCCGGGGCAGAGAGTTCCACTGCTAAACGGCTCTCCGAGTCAGGAAGTTCTTCCTCATGTTCAGGTGGAATCTCCTTTCTCTCCTGATGTTTCGCTTGCATCTATGGCAGGCATCCTCAGAGGTTGCGAGGTCTGTTGGAAACTAAGAAAATTGGGTTTATATATCTGTGGAATAATGTCCAGGGTGGGTGAAAGAACTCTTGTCTGTTGGAGGTAGAGGTTAATGGAATTCCAGACAAGAAACAATCGGGGCCAGCTAATCACCTCCCAACAAAGGATTCCTCCAGGCATTAAGAAGCTAGACAATGGTTGTTCATTCAATCCATTGAATAATGGGTTCAAAGCCAACCTTAAAATCTCTGGCACAGACACTGAGAACTGGGAAGCCCTGGCCCTTGAGAGCTCCAGCTGGAAGTCAGCTGTGACCAGCAATGCTGCAGAATTTGGAGAGGCACGAATGGAGGGCGAAAGAGTTCGTGCCAGGAGGAAGGCGAATCAAGCCAACCCCGGCCGAGACCGCCTTCCACCTGGAAACCAATGCCCTCACTGCGGGAGAAGATGCAGGTCAAGAATAGGGCTCCACAAAAATACTGATCATGGAAGACTATCCTGCTCGTCCAACGAGGGATCGCCTAAGTAAGTATTCATTCAATCCAATCCTGGATTCCCAGCTCCAGGTTTTCCTCCTGCGGTCATATAAGGCGTAGAACGTCGTGACGTCACTGCAGACAGGGAAGGGGATTCTCTGTCTCTCTCTCTCTCGGCCTCTTTGCTTTGACGCGACTCGCGCCATACACGCCGGCAGCGAGGTGACGTATGTCGATGCCCGGTCTGCGCATGCGCGTTGCCTCTTCCCTCCCCCTCCCATTCGCTTCCTTCCCGTCCCATAATGCTGGGCTGTTTCCGTCATTGACGGCTTGTCGCAAAACCGCGGAACACTCGCGCCCTCCCCCCCCGGGCCTTGAGAGGTTTCTTTTCCCAAGTTACTCGCCGTCGACCGTTAAGCGAGGCGGGCGGGCGGCGCCTCTTCCCGGCTCCCCTTCCCTGTCTTCCCTCCCTCCCTCCCTTCCTCTCTCCCTCCGAAATGCCCCCCAAGAAGCAGCCCGCGGCGGCGGCCTCGGGGGGCAACAAAAAGACGGACCAGAAGAAGAAGGAGAAGATCATCGAGGTGAGAAGCAGCTGCGGGCGGGATTCTCAGGGAGGGAAGGCCAGTGGGGGACTCTCCGTCCAAAAGGGCCTTCCTGCCATCCCTTCTGGGGCCCTGTCTAGGCCTTTGAGGCTCTGAGGCCTGGTTTTCGTCCAGGCCAAAAGTGGCATGTACCCAGAGGAGGGCCAGGAAGCCATGCATCCCTTTCGGCTTGGAGAGGAGCCGCGGCAGCCATGTTTAAAGCATTGGGAGGATCTCACCTGGAATAACATTCTGTACAAGAGAGGAGATTCCATCTGAACATGAGGAAGAACTTCCTGACTGTGAGAGCCGTTCAGCAGTGGAACTCTCTGCCCCGGAGTGTGGCGGAGGCTCCTTCTTTGGAAGCTTTTAAACAGAGGCTGGATGGCCATCTGTCAGGGGTGATTTGAATGCAATATTCCTGCTTCTTGGCAGGGGTTGGACTGGATGGCCCATGAGGTCTCTTCCAACTCTTTGATTCTATGATATTGTCAAGCTGGGAAAGCATCCAGTGAAGGGTAAAAGCCCTGTGAAGTTTATCTTGTGAAAGGAAGGCTGACAGAGCCTTGTCAAAATATTAGAAAGGATTTATTGTTGAAGGCTTTCATGGCCAGCACCACTGGGTTGCTGTGACATTTCTGGGCTGTATGGGCCATTTATTTATTTATTTATTATTTATTTACTTCATTTGTACCCCGCTAACATCTCCCGAAGGACTCGGTGCGGCTTACAAAGGCCAAGTACATAACAAGTATACAATAAAACTCAAGCAAACCAATAAACATTAAGCAATAACAATAAAACATTAAACAATAACATCATGACACAGTTAAAACTAGGGCCGGGCCAAATGTAACGAATAAACATTAAAAGTGCTGGACATGACAGGTAAATGTAAGGATTTTAGGGTAGGTGCGATGTGCAGACAATCTTAAATGTCTAATAAAGTGCATTTGGGACATGATGCTGGGAGTTTCCTATTCTGGAAAGGCACACTGAAACAGCCAGGTCTTCAAGCTCTTCCTAAAGACTGCCAACGTTGGGGCTTGTCTGATGTCCTTGGGGAGAGAGTTCCAGAGTCAGGGGGCTACCACAGAGAAGGCCCTGTCCCTTGTCCCCACCAAACGCGCTTGCGACGCAGGAGGGATCATGAGCAGGGCCTCTCCAGATGAAAGGAGTGATGTTCCAGAAGCATTCCCTCCTGACATTTCGCCCACATCTATGGCAGGCATCCTCAGGGGTTGTGAAGTCTGTTGGAAACAAGGCAAGTGGGGTTTATACAGTAGAGCAAGGGTCCTCAAACTTTTTTAAACAAAGGGCCAGGTCACAGTCTCTCAAACTGTTGGAGGACCAGATTATAATTTGGGGAAAAAAACATGAATGAATTCCTATGCACACTGCACATATCTTATTTGTAGTGCAAAAAACACTTTAAAACAATACAATAATTAAAATGAAGAACAATTTTAACAAATATAAACTTATTAGTATTTCAATGGGAAGTGTGGGCCTGTTTTTGGCTGATGAGATAGGATTGTTGTTGTTGTTTTGTACTTTCAAGAAAATGAGGAACAATTTTAACAAATATAAACTTATTCGTATTTCAATGGGAAGTGTGGGCCTGCTTTTGGCTGATGAGATAGGATGGTTGTTGTTGTTGTGTGCTTTCAACGAGGGCCGGGTAAATGGCATTGAAAGGCCATATCTGGCCCCCAGGCCTTAGTTTGAGGACCCCTGCAGTAGAGTCTCCCTTATCCAACACAAACAGGCTGGCAGACGGTTGGATAAGAAAAAATCTATCTTCTATATAAATAAAAATGTAATGTTCGTTTGTGGAATTAAAATAACTCAAAAACCACTGGACCAATTGACACCAAATTTGGACAGAATACACCTAACAACCCAATGAGTGACCATCACTCATAAAAACACTGAAAAACACAGCGGAAGAGACTTAAAAAGCCAAAAAAATACATAACAATGCATGTGCAAAACCACACATACACAAATATATACACACGCATATATATACACACACAAAACACATATACGCACACTGAGCCACAACAACGCGTGGCAGGGGACAGCTAGAGTTGAATAATAAGGAGGGGTTAAGGAAAAGCCTATTAAATGCCAAATTACATTATGATTCTACAAATTAGACACCAAAACATCATGTTTTACAACAAATCAACAGAAAAGCAGTTTGATACATGGTAATATTATGTAGTAATTACTGTAGTTATGAATTTAGCACCAAAACATCGCAATGTATTGAAACAGCTATGGATCTGGGCAGGAGGCATACTGTGTTGGATAATATAGAACATTGGATGAGCAAGACTCCACTGTATATCTGTGGAATAGCCTTACAGCTTCAAAGCCTGGCTGCTTCCCACCTGGGGGAATCCTTTGTTGGAAGCTGTTAGAATATTATTTGAGAACACAGAAATGCTGTGCCAGTCTGAACAACTACCATGTAGAGTCAGAGAATCCACTGAAATCCACAAGCATATGGACAATTTCAACAGAAAGGAGGAAACCATGAAAATGAATAAAATCTGGCTACCAGTATTTAAAAAACCTCTAAAATCAGGACCGTGAATAAAGAACAACACTCAGAAAACAGGAGAATTCCAGGCAGGAAACAATCAGGAACAGCTAACATCTCCTAACAAAGGATTCCCCCAGGAAGGAAACAACCAGACTTTGAAGTTGCAAGGCTATTCAATGCCAATTAAGGTAGCCAATTGTAACATTCACACTTGCCTCAAGCAGACAAAAGTTCTTTCTTCCACCCTGGACATTCCACAGACATATAAATCTCACTTGCCTAGTTTCCAACAGACCTCACAAACTCTAAAGATGTGTGCCATAGATGTGGGTGAAACATCAAGAGAGAATGTTTCTGGAACAAGGCCGTACAGCCCAAGAAACTCACAGTAACCCATTAGAAAGGATGTCACATTGAGGAAGGGGCGAACTTGTTTTCTGCTGTCTTGGAGAATAGGGCACCATACCAGATTTACTTAGATGTGCTTAAAGCACAGGACCCTGTTGGCCAGGGGGCCCCATCTTCCTGCCCTTCCCCAAAATATGATTGATTTTGCTTATGTCCAGAGGGGGGCAACTAAGATGCTCCTCATGCCCTAAGAGGGGTGTCTTAAAGAGCTGAATATGTTTTGCCTGCAGAAGAGAAGGTTTAGCAGAGACATGTTCATCATTTATACATATGCAAAATGATGTCATAAGGAAGAGGGAGCAGGCTTGTTTTCTTCCTGACTGTAAGGAGCTGTTCAGCTGTGGAACTCTCTGCCTTGGAGTCCGGTGGAAGCTCCTGCCTTCCTTATATGGATGACCATCTGTCAGAGATGCTTTGATTGTGCTTTCCCTGCATGGCAGGGGTTGGACTAAATGGCTCATTTAGTCTCTGCCAGTGCTATGGTTGTTTTCAGTCCATGATTCATCAGGGTTTCTAAAAAAACTCAAAAATATGTTTTCCAACCCATTCTTTACAATATATCAAATATTCTTTCCTGGATGGCAGGTGGTTAGAGTAGATAACCCATGTGGTCTCTTCCAACTCTATGATTCTACTCCCATCCTGATTCCTCTTTGTCAGTGGTTCAATGATAAGACACTTCCTCTATCTACCTTCTTTTCTCTGTCTCAGCAAAGGATGTGTCGACTTGTCCAAAATGAATGGGACCAGAAGTGATTTGAGTTTTTTGTGAACTTTGTAATGCCTGTGTTTGCATATATGTTGAAGCAGTGCCGGTTATTTCCTTTAAAGACCTAGACGGTTCAGGTCCACACTATTTGGCTGACCGTATCCCCTTGTATGAACCTTCCTGAGTCCTGAGATCTTCAGGAGAAGCCCTTCTCTTGGACCTACCTCCATCTCAAGCTCAATTGGTGGGAATGAAAGAGCGGGCCTTCCTTCTCGGTGGCTGCCCCTCAACTCTGGAACTCCCTTCTTCCCAAGGAAGCCAGAATGGCCCTCTCCTTGATGCCCTTCCAGCAGCAGGTTAAAGCCTTTTTATTCAGGCTGTCTTTTAAAAAAGGTTTTAAAATCATCTAGGGCTCCTATGATTTTATATGCTTTTAATGATCGATACTGTTTTAATACTTGTATATTTTAAGTTTTATTGTAATGCTTTAGTTGTGAGCCGCTTTGAGTCTCTGTACGGAGAGAAAAAGTGGGATATAAATAAACATTATAATAATATATGTACACAATGAGACCCTTGGAGATAGGACCAAGGCCTAAAACTGAAATTAATTTTTTTATATACATCTTATACATGTATTCTGAAGGCAGTTTTATACAATATTTTATTGAAGTAGGCATGAGTCAGTTTAGTGGCTCTTGGTTTCTGGCCCTCAAGTGCCAGCACCCCCCCCCCCCCCCACCACCACCAGTCATTATTATTAGCTCATTATACTTCATTCTCATTCTCTTTGGTGTCCTTTGTACAGGTGGTGTTAAAGACTGTAGATCTTGTTCAAAGCAGTCTGCATATGAATAACTGACCAACACAGCTCAGTTTTGCCTTTGCCTAGCAGCTGAGGAAAAACTCACCCTCCATTCCATCTGGCAGTGCCTTGGGAGGAAAGTAGAAAGGGCAGTATCTTGTCAGACATTGAACTTTCTAGCTACAGCAGAGGCAGGGAGCCTTTGGCTCTCTGAATTGGACCATAGCCATCCTGCCACCTCACCATTTAGGCTTCTGGGATTTGTACTCCAAAACATCTGCAGGGCCAAAGGTTGTCCACCCATAGTCTTCACTGGCTGTCAGCAACATTCTCTTTTTCAGTTTGACAGTGCCAGTAATTTAATCTCTTTCTTTTTGTGTATGTTAATGAAACACACATTAAAAGGTGATTCTAGGTCAGGAAACTATGTTTTCAGATCTAAATAATGGCCTCAGTGTTGCTTTCGTTCAACATGCTGAAAATCCGAATTTGAATATTATGGTTAAGACCACAGTCTTGCGAACATGGTTAATGTGAACTCATCCGCTCTTATTTCTGAATCAAAATATTTAGGAGAGCAATGCACAGTAACAAACCTTTGAATATTTGCTGAGAGATTAAGGTGTATGCTTAGGAGAAAGTTTGTGTCAACACTCTAGATATATATTTCTCTGTGAGCATATTGGAATGGGGTGCTAGCCGTCAGAAATGACTTTTGGGTACATAATATACATTTCAGATTTGTGTACACACATCAAAGACTCTTCAGTAGAGTATTCAGTCATCGCAAAAGCATGCTGTGGAAAACAAAAGTTGGTACATACCATGAATCTCTGATTGGACCAATATAATTTCCTTTCTGAATTGAAATGAGAGTTACATAGGAATTAGAAATAAATTGGCTTCTTCTGAGCACTAAATGCTGCTCCTTAAGGATTAAATTATGCATTTTCAAAAGAAAATAGCACATCAAGTAGTGATGGTTTCTCACAAACGTCTTTATTAATAATCACAATACCAGAACTTCAGATTATGGTTAAATAGTAGTTAGTCTTCTAAATCATTTGGCGGGAGAGATATATTCAAATGTGTTTATATTATGCATATACGGTTCTTTTTAATAAAAGGTTTTTCATGTTTAACAGTTCTTTGTATCTTGTTAATGTTAATTGACAGGTTCCAGGTAGGGAAAGGTGTATTTTAGATTATAAATGTTATTATTATTATTTTATTTATACCCGGCCATCATCTCCCAGAAGGACTCGGGGCGGCTTACAGAAACACATACAAGTGCCATAAAACACAAAATTGCATCACATATTAAACAATGACAACATCAGTTAAGAGAAAAACAACACATTACAAAAAAGTCTAATTTAAAAATCAATAAAACACAGTACAAATTGCCATGAAAACAAATAGTACAGCATTCCATCCGCAGCCTAATTCAACTATTAAAGTGCTATTGACAATATTAGATCATTTGGTTCTTAGATTAGCAGATGTCTTATAGATATACTATACAAGAGTAAAGCGGCAGAACATTTAGAGTTAACATTGTGCATTGATACTTCTTTGCTGTCATAATATTTTAGTTCTTTAGTACTATTGCTTTAGAATTGAGGGCTGGCTTCTATGTATTTTGAAATATTTGTCCTTATTTTTACTGTCTTTTTAATGTGCTTTAAATTTAGTATGTTGAATTGGGATGTCATCAGTCCTTAGAGTAGAGCTTCAAGTCTCATAAATTATTCTTCCATTATTTCCATTCAGTAATAAAAAGGTAGACTACACCCACCTTTACTTGTGTGGCTGCATTGAATCATCAGAGCTTATCACTTGAGAGAAAATATATACGGTACTTCCCAAGAAGATTAAGCCTAGTTAATAACAAACAAAACAAAATCTGTGAATCATTGCAAGTGGAATTTACTCCATAAATACATGTCTATATGCATACTGCAAAAAATGTAAATATATTCCAGTAATCTGTTTACATTTTCATTTACACAGTAAGTTTTTCATTAGATTTAAATGCCTAATAAAAAGTAGTGCACGTTGAATTATGTTATAATAATTTGTGAATTTTAATATTTGCACTTTTAAAAATCTTTCTGATCTAGGACAAAACCTTCGGCTTAAAGAACAAGAAGGGAGCAAAACAGCAAAAGTTTATCAAGGCTGTCACCCACCAAGTTAAGTTTGGTCAGCAGAATCCAAAGCAGGTAAGCCAATTTTTACTTCGATTTGTTGTAATCAGATGTTGTCACGTATTGCATAATAAAAATGTCAGAAGATGAACTTTCTACTTGACTGAATCAGTTATAATTGAATAGAGGGCCTTGGCAGGCTTAATGGTCTGGTCATGCACTGTAGTATTGGATCCTACTTCAAGAAGGAAAGAAGAAAGGGTTGAGGGATAGATATATAAGGTGACATTTTGGAATATTTGGAGAAGGGGGGAAGTGTGTGCTATAAATTTGTGATGTTCAACGTCAGCGTGTTTTTGGGACAGAGGCCAGTTTGAAATCATAGTAATATAGTGATTTTTAGAGTCATGAGAAATTTCCAGTCATGTTGCTGCAATATCATTATTATCAGACCTTCCAAAAGGTTTTCCAGGATTTTGAGGGCCAGTTTTCTGATACTTGAATACTAGAGGTGCATGGACTGCTGGAATTGCCCCCTTATCCAGTGTGCAAGAAGTGCACACATTCATTTTTGAGAAGGGGTCAGGAAAAGAGTAAGCCAGAGAAAACGAGAGGATTGTGAGCCACAGAAACAGCCTTGTAGAGCTACATATAACACCCTGGAGGTGTTTTGTCCACTCTTGTTCTGAGGCCAAAGGCGGGGGGGGGGGGGGGGGGGGGGAGCTAAGCAGCAGTTGCCTTTACTCTTAAAACAGGTTGTGAGAAAATTCCATTAATGTTGTATTGCGCTTATTTTGCTCACAGACATTTGAAATAAAGAAACATACAATAGTTCATTTAACCATATTTTGAGAGTAATCCAGACCTTTTGAGCTAAAGCAATTGTTCTATGGTTGATGGAAAAGAGCAGTAAAATAGAAACACACAACTTTTAAGTTTGAAATTTATTTATTTATTAACTACATTTCTATACCGCTTTTCTCACCCCTGGGGGGACTCAAAGCGGTTTACAACATAATAAATGGCAAATTCAATGCCTCACATATATATAAAATATCACATATCTAAATCAATAACATATAACTGTAGATAAAAACCATTAAAACTATAAAAACATCAAACATAGACATAAGCATGAAACATATTATTGCTGCAATTAACAATAGACCCTTCTCACCCCCCCCCCCCACTTCCCATCTCTCTCTCCATAGCGTTTCAGCCCTTCTTTTTATACACTCCTTGCTACCCCCACATCCCAACAGACACAAAGTTATTTAGGTACATATTGAATACAAAATGGGGAGGGTAAAAAAAAAGTCCCGGGGGATGGTAAATGTTATATGAGATCCTTGGAGCAGGTGGAGGGAGAGTCTTATGTGATGATGGTAGTAGGCTACTGATCAGTTTCGTAAAAGTCCAGAGGAACATAGATTTTATCAGTTGTGGTGCCATAATTTAGGTGTGAGCTATCACTTGCCAGTAGACTGAGGATGGGGAAGGGCAATGAAGTGTAGCTGCTGCCGAGGAGAGTTGGTGTGTAGGCTGCACCTTCCACTCTGGAGGAGCTGAAGTCTCCTGGCCTCCTTTTCACTTACTCCTTGCTGGCTGTTGGAGGGAGAGGCAGCGAGGTGCAGCTGCTGCCGAGGAGAGTTGGTGTGTAGGCTGCACCTTCCACTCTGGAGGAGCTGAAGTCTCCTGGCCACCTTTTCACCTCCTTGCTGGCTCTTGGAGGACGGGGGCAGCGAGGTGTAGCTGCTGCCAAGGAGAGTTGGCGTGTAGGCTGCACCTTTCACTCTGGAGGAGCTGAAGTCTCCTGGCCTCCTTTTCACCTTTTCCTTGCTGGTTGTTTTAGGGAGAAGCACTATTAAAAAAAAAAAAAAAGAAAAGAAAGAAAGAAAGAAACCATAGAAGTCGAATTATTTCATCTGGTTGGTTGCAAGAATGTAACTTTGGAGAATAAAGTCCCATCTTCAGGAGATACAAAAACATCCTCTATTTTAGGATCCTGCTGTTGAACAGCTACATTTCCTGTTCCTAGAGTGACATGAAGTGTGAACGGTAGCAATATTATAAGAAGAATGCCAAAACCTATAACAGCTTTGTTATGCTGCCCAAAATTGCCCATCTTTTGAAACAGGAGTTGGGAAAGTGTAGGCCCTAGATGTTGTTCCCCTCAGGCATAGCCACTGCAACCAACAGTAAATGTTGATAGGAGTTGCAGGCTACCAACCTCTGGAGGCACCACTCCACCTGCTCTGCCTTGCAATGGAAGTCATTGTGAAGTCAGTAGTTTGCAATACGGTAGTCAGATTTCAAAGTAGATTCTCTAGTGCGTGTAGTATTGTAATTCTTTATTACTAATTTAAAAAGCTGTTCTTTATTGTTCTTTCAGGCTGCTCTAGCAGAAGGAGACAAAAAATTGAAGAAAGATGACAAGAAGAAAGAATTACAAGAGCTGAATGAGCTTTTTAAACCTGTGGTCGCTGCACAGAAAATTAGTAAAGGTAATCTTTCTTTGGCAGACATGGATTTCCCCCACCTTGTAGATTTCAGATCATTATTTCCATTGCAGTGGCAAAATATTAAATAAGTTCTGTTCATTACAGGCGCTGATCCGAAATCCGTTGTCTGTGCTTTCTACAAGCAAGGGCAGTGCACAAAGGGAGACAAATGCAAATTTTCTCATGATCTAACTTTGGAGAGAAAGTGCGAAAAGCGAAGTGTTTATATTGATGCAAGAGATGAAGAACTTGAGAAAGGTAGATCCCACCTGACAGTGGCTGTAGAATCCATTGTTCTGCTAAGCAATTTAAGCACGTTTCATTAGGTGACAGTTTTTCACATTAATTTATTGTGACCTAAGATTTTTTTTGAAACTTTTAGAACAGATTACAAACATTGATAAATAGTTTCAGTTAAAACATGCATCTCAAGAAAGCCATGAGAATGCAACATTTCGGGTTTATTTTTTTTCTTTTACCATTACCATGAGTTATCAAGCATAAAGCTAAATAAATTGTATTGTATTCTATCAAACAAACTGTAGTTTACCTCTGACTTACTGAATGAGCCTGTTTCATACTTTTGATTTGGTGTACAGTTCATTTTTTATATATCTGTGTTCTGAAGAGGTTGCTGGTCTGTTGAAGGAAAGGTTTTGTAGGTTTATTTCTGTCTACTTAGTTAAGTCTTGTTTTTATATCTAGACACGATGGATAACTGGGATGAAAAGAAGCTGGAAGAAGTAGTGAACAAGAAACATGGTGAAGCTGAAAAGAAAAAACCCAAAACCCAAATAGTAGGTTTTTCCTTTATTTGTTTTTGCATTACCGAATTAAAAATTTGACATGCTTCAGGAAGCTGAAAAGGGGCAATGACCTGCAAGCCCCTTATGCCTTAAATGCTGCTCAAGAGGGCTCAAAACCCATGAGCAGATACTCAAGCTAGGATATTTCCGCAACAAATAAATAAATCATCCTTTGCAATGACCTTTTTTAAAAGACTATATAAGGTATATACCCTTTTCTTTTTTTACATGTAGATTCTTGTTTCTAAGGATTCTTGTTTTCAAATCAATTTACCTAGCCCTAGAAATAAGTAGTTCTCACAAAATCCCCATAAAGGTTGGCATGGTTACAAGTGAGTCTCTTTGAAGACCTGCATGATTCTACAATGTGATTTTCCTTATATAATTTGACAAAATAGTTCAGAGATCACTCACTGACAACATGTGACAATACTAACATGCAGTAAATTATGCCAAGTCCATGACATAGAATGCAAACTAGTTCAGAAATACAACTGTCTCCTTATAGGTATATGTTTAATTGCATATGTCATGCTGTGTAAAATTTAAGCTAGGATAACATAACTTTAATGTTAATTTTTACGCAGGTCTGCAAGTACTTCCTTGACGCTATTGAAAACAATAAGTATGGATGGTTTTGGGTCTGTCCTGGTGGTGGAGACAACTGTATGTACCGTCATGCGCTCCCTCCTGGTTTTATACTCAAAAAGGACAAAAAGAAGGAGGAAAAAGAAGAAGAAATATCTCTAGAAGATCTAATAGAAAAAGAGGTAATGCTGTGAATTACTTTGCCCATATCAGGGGTATTCCTTGGAGCATACATGAGATAACTGACTCCTGAGTCCCGCATATTATTCTTGTTCTAGAGCAATCTGTATGAAAGCAACAAGAGTCGTTTTGGGGTTAGGAAAGTCTGAGTAACGTATATCTTAGCAATCTGGAGGAGTACATCAGATTGCAAAAGACTGAATGATAATACTGTAGAAGAAATATGTACAAAGCTAAGCTGCCTTGATTTCTGCAACAAACAAGAATACAGGAAAGTCTTTCATTCTTGCCTCCAGGGGGCAGTCTGGTTTAATGGAAAATATTTAAAATATTAGTTGAAACAGACTATCACTAATGCTAAAACACTTGGGTTTGCATGTATTTTGAACAGATGGGGATGATTAATGATTTAGCTTCTGATAGTCCTTGTTAAAAATCTGCTATATCCTAATTCTTTAATTCCTGTTTACTAGCAGATTCTTTGCTTAGTGAAAACTGGAATGAAAAGAAGCTAGAGTCTCACACTCAGGTCAGCCACAGGATATTCAAAGGGGCCTGTGTATATGTAGGTGTAATGTATATATCCCATTATGATGAAGCATGCACAATTTGAAAGCATCTTCATCCATTAGGACAAGATGTAAAGCCTGTAGGGCTTTTTCTGAATGCACTGGAGAATAAGAGTCTCTTGCAGCAGAAACAACACAAAAAGCTCTTTGTTACTGGCATTCAATGGTAGCCTTCTAAAACCATTATCACAATTGATGTTCTTATCTTACAGCGGGCTGCTTTAGGAGCAAACGTTACTAAAATTACCCTAGAGTCTTTTCTTGCGTGGAAGAAAAGGAAAAGGCAAGAAAAGATCATCAAAGCTGAGCAAGATATGGAAAGGAGGAAAGCCGATTTTAAGGCTGGGAAAGCACTGGTGGTAAGTTCCGTTCTTCTGAAGCATCTGATCTGTTTCATAGATGCAACATAACAAGACAAAGGCAATCATATTCAGTAGTTCATCTTATTTTAAGCTTTCTGTTTCTATTCAATACTATATTTCTTTCCTTTGTGACTAGATCAGTGGACGAGAAGTGTTTGAGTTTCGGCCTGAGTTGGTTGATGCAGATGATGAAGAAGCTGATGACACCCGTTACATTCAAGGAATAGGCGAAGATGAGGTAAA